CTCCCCCAAGGGTGGCTCTCCCTAACGGAGACTCTCCCCTAAGGGTGGCTCTCCCTAACGGTGACTCTCCCTAACGGTGGCGAGGTGAGGTATGTTGCCTTGTCATCGTTAGGGAGAGACAAATCTAACGTATGCAGCATAGGGCCATTCGTTATTCATAACGGCGGCCGATGTACCTGGTCAGCTTTTATGTGAAGAAGACGCGATGAACCTGGCTACTTTTGTGTGATCAGAAGACACTGATGTATCTTGCCAGCTTCTGTTTCAAGAAGATCCCGACGCGTGCGGCCACCTTTTTTGTGTAAAGAAGATGCGGATGTATCTGGCCACCTTCTAGCCCACCGATGTATCTGGCCTCCTAGGCCACCGATGTCTCTGGCCACCTTCTAGGCCACCGATGCATCTGGACACCTTCTAGGCCACCGATGTATCTGGACACCACCTGGCCTAGAAGGTGACCGGCCTCTATATGCGGATGTATCTGGCCATCCTTTTTCACGGTTCGTTGGTAATACTGCGCCGTGACCATCGCTAATTAACCAATCAATCAATCAATCAATCTACCATTCCATCGCTAATTAACCAATCAATCAATCAATCAATCTACCATTTCCATCACTAATTAACCAATGAATCAATCTACCTTTCTCATCGCTAATCAACCAATCAATCAATCTACCATTCCCATCGCTAATCAACCAATCAATCAATCTACCATTCCCATCGCTAATTAACCAATCAATCAATCTACGAATCATCCATCAATCAGAGAAAACCAATCATCAATCAGATCAACCAATCATCAATCGATTTTTTTTTCTTGTTTTTTTTTTGTAGATCAATATTTTTTTTCCAGCCTCCGGGGAGAAGCAAAGTTCCCGCCTTTTCCCCTCCCACACTCACTCGTCCCTTCTCCTCCTCCTCTCCCTTCTCCTCCTCTCCCTTCTCCTCCTCCTCTTCCTCCTCTTAGCCCCTTGTTTCTTTCTCCTTAATTACTACTCTCCCCCTCTCTCCGTCGTTTTTTTTTTTCTTCCGTCCATCGCCTCCTCCCTCCCTCCCATGTCTCTCTCTCTCTCTCTCCCTCCGTCCCCCCCCCCCCCCCCCCCCTATCTCTCCCTCTCTCTCTCTCTTGCACTCTCTTTCTGTCTTTCTTTCTCTCTCTCTCTCTCTCTCTCTCTCTCTCTCTCTCTCTCTCTCTCTCTCTCTCTCTCTCTCTCTCTCTCTCTCTCTCTCCCTCCCCTTTCTCTCTCTCTTCTCTTGATCGATCCACATGCTATTGTCGATCTTCCTACGTGCTATTGGCGACCTACCTACATGCTACTTGGTCGTTGACCCAATTGCTAGCGACGACCTCCCTTCGTCTACGTGCATGGTGACCTACCGTTTCATGATCTAGCGCTCTCTATCCTTCGTCGTGCTAGCGGATACCCACTTACGTGCTATTGGCGACCCACTGACGTGCTATTGGCAAGCTACGTACGTGCTATTGGATACCCACTTACGTGCTATTGGCGACCGAGGCACGTGCTACTTGGCGACCTAGGCACGTGCTACTTAAAGACCTACGTGACCTAGC